TAAAAGTATAAAGGGAAAGTATATATATATATGTACGTATTATTTTAATAATTTCTACGATATAAATATATCTCTTATAAAATCAGTCAAAGGCAAAGACCAACGCATAAAATATGAAAAAAATGATCTTCGAATACGAAACATGGCCAAAGAATTTCATACTGTTTTTAGGAACGACTATTTTAAAACAGCTAGATCAGTCTTTAATTTCTAAACGACTACATTCTTTACTCTCAATTATTATTCACTTAGCGTATTTGTTTATTTATTGTAAATAAATACTATATATCTCTGTTAATAATTTATATTAATATATTTTTTGAAATTGAGAACTATTTTTTTATCAGCAGCTAAGCATAAATTTCTGCTCGTTCATAATTCAAACGAAATTTAAGAAAAATATATTTTATCATCTGTTTCTCAATCCGCGCGCAAGTGTCTATACGCGCAGCCGTCGTGCGTGTAAATGTCATGCGCGTAAATGTCGGCGCGTAACTGTCGGTCAATCCAGTGCTACAGCTATTTCATCAAATAGAAGTTATAACACATAAAATTAAATGATTAGGATGATTTTTAATTAAGTATAGTGAATACTGGTCATGAGAGAAACTATTATTAATAGAATGATTAGATCGTACATAATTGATTTGTAAAAGAAGTGCTTGTTGCGACACATTTTAAAAATCTGATTGAAATATAGTTGGCTATATATCTATTCTTGTGACTGAAAGACAATAAGATTGTAGAATCTATCCATTTCTGAATATATATTATCGAATAAAAACCAATCTAAAAAAAATATATTCGAACAAGCATTAATTCAATTAAATTTGTGTTTACAATATATGTATAAAATAAAATTATCATTAAATATTTCGCTGATAGACTAGAATATATGAGACATTTTATTTTAGTATATATAAATTCTTCAATGAGTTAATTTTATTATAAAATTATTAAAATATTTTAATTATTGTTCTTTTTTAATCTGATTATTTTGAATAATACATGTTAATTTTTCATTTAATTCATCTAATTTATCTATAAACATAATTTCACTTGCTGTATTATTAAAAACAAATTTCATTTTAATTGGAACAATATCAAGAACACCTGCACTAGCAAAAAGCGCAAGAATTGCTTCTACAAAATGATGTAAACCAATAGTTGAAAAAATCAATATTGATAGAAGTTGATCAGATGTACTATCAATGAAATTATCAAGTTGATTAATTAATTCATTTAAATATTTAGGGTGGGTGCATTTTTCTCATTCATTACCCACACCCACACCCTTGGAATAGAACAAGTCCATGGTAAAACTGTTGATCATTGGTATTCTCATGAACATGAATATTGGAGTGAAGTTAATGAACCATTTAATGGTGTTCGTTATTCAGGACCAAATTTTAAAACACCACGTCAATTCACGGACTATGATGTTTGGCAAATTGAACCGCAAAATCCAAGTCTTTTTGATTTACCAAAGAATGTTGATTGTACTCAACCTTGCCCATAAAATGAAAATTCTATTGAAAAGTATAATATTTTATCGATATTCTGAATAAATGAAAATAATATTACAATTATTAGATATTTTTTTCTACTATCATTAAAATCTTTGTAAACAATTATAGTTTGAGTTTTGAAAAAATGTGTTACTTAGTTTAAGTGATAGTTTTTTAAATTCTGATAAAATAATTCATCCAGAATAGTTACTTTCGGTATTGATCAACAAAAACAAAGAAGAAGAAGAAGAATAGAAATATTTCGAATATTCGAAGTAACTCTTCGAGTTTCACATGTATGGACATTATGCTACTAATTAAACTTTTGTAGATTATATGGCATTGCCAAATTATTTTTGGGGGTAGGTTTGGATGAATGAGAGTGTAATTTATTCTTTTCTTACCCACACCAACATATAAGATTAAAAGTTCAATACTCTAGATCGAATACAAGTATGAAAAAATATGAGTTACAAATTATTATTAGTTATGATGAGACACTCTTTAAGCAGTACACAACACAAAACTTTTACAACATTATTTTGGTTTCTATCGACATGAGTAATTTTATTATTGTACAAAGCATTTGTTTCAAAGACTTCTGCGTTAATCTGGTTTTCAAATAAATATTCGGTTGAACAAAGCAAGCTTGGATGAAGAATTAATCATTCTAAAATAATAATATAATATATTAGAACGAGAAAGAATTCTAATAAAGATCCTACCTGACAACATTTATTTTACAATAAGCACAAAAGAACTTCAATTTGATTCAATTTCGAATTTTTGTAATCGATGATTGTATGAATCAAAGACATAAAGATTACCGTGTTTATCAAATAATAAATCACTAGGATAAAACAGTTGATTTGCTTGATTTCCTCGTCCATTCCCGCCAACAACAACAGTACCTTCTTTATCTCCATTGATCCAACGCATTATTCGATGATTCAGTGTATCGGCTACATAAACATTACCTAAATGATCGACAATTACGCCTCCAGGTTCAGACAGTTGTGTTAGGTTAGCTCCAGCACCGTTTCCACCAGCAACAATAATCCCGGTTGTTGCGTTTTTCATCCATTTCATCACACGATGATTATGTTTATCCACCCCATATACTGAATAATCTATGTCGACAAAGAGAAGTATTAGACTCATGAATTGTTCAGAATGATTTCCTGCTTTGTTTCCACGTGCAACGATAGTGCTTTTATTACTAACTCCAATTTCCCATCGTCTGACTTCCTTTTCTTTCCAATCACTAACATAGAGATATCCTTTGTCATCTATTGCTAGACTATTACAATGAATATTCGGAAAGATTATGGGTACACTAGTTGCATTTTGACGAGACCATCGGGCAATCCCTATCAAAAGCTGACAAATAATAATTGAATCAGTCTTTTTGTCAGCAATAACATCTACTGGACCCGATAACTGATGTGTGCCATTTCCATCAATAACAATTGGACAGTTCGTTCGATTTAATTGCAATCCTATAATGCGATCGTTTCTATGTTCAACAATATAAATAATTTCATTATCATCGTCAATATCCATAGAGCTAAACTCAAAATCAGATTCATCAATATAGGATTGATGAAAAATAGTTATTCCATTTTGTATCCATGTTGTTTTATCAGTAATAATGTTATGTAATGGAGCTATAATGAAGCAAAAATAAATTGTCATTATATAAAATAATCATTGTGTTAATATGATACAACTAATGTTTCTCTTATCGCTCATTCATTAAAATATACCTTTGGTTGTGGTTGTTGTTGTTGATATTGTTGCTGTGATCGTTGTTGTTGCTATTATGTTATTAGTTTTCATCTTTTTCTTGTGTACGAGAACCGTTGGAACAGTAATAATTATCGTAATTAAAATGATACAGACTAAAACCAAGATACATCTGCCATAACGAATATGTTCACATCTAAAATGAATCAATATATTTCATCATTGATTGAAAGATCAAGTTTACATACGAGATATTCCATTGAGTGGCTGTATTTTTATTTATATTTTGAACAGGAGCTGGTGAGTGAATCTAAAAAAAGAATGTTTGTTATTGAATTACTCAAACATATCTTTTTCATACTTCATTAGCAATTTCAATTTTTGATATATCATCCAACTTGGCCATTTTTCGAATGCTTTGATAACTAAAAAATAATAGTAGATTGATAAGTGTAGAAGAAAAGATTTATGAGAAATCGTCATAGAAAGAAAATTATTTTATTCAAAATTAGATGTCTCATGAAATATGTCATTACCAAGGAAAAAAAGTGTTTTTGTTATTTTTCTATGAACTGTGCAAATGAATATGTTTCCATCTGTCATTTTTTTTCAAATTATAATTCGGCTTCTTCTACATATTAATAAATAGAACTAGATTCTTGAATAAAAATAGCAGATGGCAATATTTTGTATGTTCTTGTTTTGCAACGGAAATTTCCATTAAAGAATAAAAAAAAACGCTGCTCATTATCTGAGATTTATTTTTCCTGATTTTTGTGCTACCTTCATATAATAAATGATATTGAGAGAACCAATTTAGTTTGATGAATCATCTCTACTGAGTGCATAATAATTATGACTTTTTATATTTTGATTTTAAAAAGGTTTACGAATGCCGGAATGATATTCAAGTCGTTATGGTAAACTAATAAATATAAAGTATTTATAATATACACCGAGTGAAAGTTTTGAGTTATCTGCACAAAGTCAGGAGTAAAAGCATCTTGAATTTAGGGTACCAATGCAAAAAGGGATTTTATCAACACGATGTTGAACTTTTATTATAAATTTGAAAAACCTCAAATAAAACAGTTGTTAGATATACAAAGAATGTAATGATAATCTTGGAAATGATGATATGATTATAAAGATCTGCTTATGATAAAAAATAGCATTTCAATACCGAAATTTCTATATGCGTTTGAAATGAAAAGCAAAAAAATATAAATTGTCATAAACGAATTCATTGACAAAAAAAGCAGCACTGTGATATTTTGTGAGTGAGTATGAGAGGGCTGGGGTGTGGATGTTGATAAGAACATGGGTGTGGGTAAGAGCATAGATGTGCGTGTTTTGTTAATCTGTCATCGAGCCACATCTGCACTCACGCCCATCTTTCAAGATGATTTATGCCTTTTCCGAACTTCTCTTTTCTGAATTCATTTTTTTCGGGAGTTTTTGACATAATCCGCTTAACATATATTATGCTAACTCAAATCAGTTAGTTACATAAATCTGATTTTTGCTACTAACATTTATGTCATATTTTAATCTTGTAGAAATTGTACTAACACCTTTTTTTTATTGATAATAGTCACAATACAAAACAATACTGTAAGAAGAAAGAAAAATAAGCATTGAACAAAAAAATAACTGCACACAACATCTTTCAAGTTTTCATAGAATGTTTATTGACTAAAAACATATTATGATGATATTATATTTAAGTTTATTATTTCGATACTTTTATTGTATGAGACCGAACCAACGTAAAATATTAGTTGTATATTGTTTAACCGTATTGTGAAATGTGTTTCTATAAACTGTTGAAGGTAGAATATATATTAGAAAGATTAACATTGGTGGAATAAATGAAATAAAATATCCAAGAAGAAATAACCATGCATCACTTGGCGATTTCATACAGTTTGATATAAATGTAAGAATTATACGTGGTACACCAAGAATAACTAAAACAATTGGAGCAGTTAACAAATTTTTATGTTCTTTAATTGTTTTATATAAAGTTTGTTTATATGTTTGTTTCTTATGAAGATTTGCTTGTTGACGAGTTTTCACTACTATAAGAACTATAGTTGATATTAAATTAATTATAAATGGGCTAATAAAATGAAATGTATGAATAAATGAATTATAAGTTTTTAAACTAAGTGAATCTTTCATAATACACCATATTCTATTTTGACGACTATCATCCTGATTGACTTCATCAATGATATATCGATGAATAGGATCATGTACATAATTAACAGCAACAGTAATAAAGAGAATAGCCATCATTAATTTTGCTGTTTTTTTACTTTTATTCTTATCAAAACTTACACCTTTTATTACAGCAGTTGTTCGTTCTATAGCTATACATGCATTTAACCATTGATCTATAGAAACAAACATTCGTAAAATATAATCAAATGAATAACATTGACCAGATAAAAATGACCGATTTGATATAATTGACATATGAGAAAGAAGAAGAATGAAAAACTTTAATCCAAACATGATTGTTATAAATAAAGTTGTGATTGATGAAGTGAGTAAATATAAACCACAACCAACTTGCCATAGAGTTTTATTCATAAATGTAATTAGAGAAAGAATACCATTGATAAGTCCTGTGATAATAAAAATAATAGTTAATGCTAAACTTATTTTTATAATCAATGGCTGATAATTGATGCTAACATGTGGAGAAATTTGATAACCTAAGATTACATCAAGTGATAAGCCATATCCATCTGTAGTCAGATGACATCGTTGTCCAAAATAGCATAAATCACACATACAAATTGATCTTGTTGGACATTCTTGTTCGTCTTCAAAACATTGACCATGATCACATTCACTTTGACCTTGACAATCGAATTTCATATTATGATCAAAACTAAAGCAATTAGCCAAACGTTTTTGACCGAATTGATAACATAAGCAAAACTGATCTGTATCATAAAAACAAGAAAGATTCAAGGATTGATTTTGGCATGGTATATGATAATATTTAATACGATGGATA